AGATATTATTCGTCTAGAACTAAGGCCCTAACGACGTTTAGTGGAGAAGGTTTAGTTTCACAGCTTGGTACGTGGCATTGGTGCCTGCGAGCCAAGATCACTTCTGAAGCTACCACTTCCCAGGAATTCCTGTGTCCTGTGTCCTAGCACGTGGCACAGTCGTGGGCAGGGACCCAGGAATTCCTGTGTCCTATGTGTCCTACCATGTGGCATAGTCATGGGCAGGGACAGAGTCCTGCTTCTTAAACCCCAAACTGATACTAGGTGCTGGGCACCCCAACCTGATCAGAGATGCCACAAGGCAAGTCCCTTCTCCTCCCTCGAGTTTTCAGCTGCCAAGCTGGAGGCATGAGGGGCCCCGTCCTCCCAGGGACCTTGGGACCTCCGGGCCTTCCAGGGCGGCCTCCCAGAAGCTGAGCAATGTGATGCCGGCCAACAGCTGCAACGCCACCTCCTGCCTGCCCTCCAGGGAAGCCTCCCAGCTTCTGTTTTCTCTTAAATTCTACTCTTTGCCCAAATTACCTAATTAATTAAAGATAAAATAATACAGAACATAAATACATCTTTAACAGCTTTCAAAAGAAACACATTTAAGCTTCAAAAATAAAAATTATCAAAAACATAAAAATAAAAGAGAGACGTGTTAATCCCAGCCAGACCTTGCGTGGGCGCACTCTGCCAGCAAGGAGACGCCTCAGATCTGACAGGCGGGTCCCGGAGATGCTGGAGCAGACGCGTCCCAGAGGGTCTGCAGACGGACACCCTGGATCCCGGACAGCCCGTGCAGCCGTCGTCGAGGGAATGAGGCCGTGCATGCAGGGGTTCTCAGCACCGAGGCCAGCCTGGACCTCAGAGCGCCCTGCAAGGCCCCTGCCACCCCCTCCTTTGGTCCTTGGGCTGCGCTGCCGTTTCTCCTCTACCGAGATGCAAACCGAAGGTGCTGTTGCCGCCAGTCCTCACAGAAGAGGCACCAAACGGCAGCCCTTCTTTGTGAAATCATCCCGCCACCTCAAAAAGAGAGAGAGAAGGGAGAGAGAGCTCGTCCGTTGGCGGAGGTGTGGCCATCTGGAGGCTGAGGGCCACGGGAGGCAAGCACATTTCCCTGCAGACTTCAGCAGGCACTTGACGGAGCTCAGCCACCGCGGCCCGCCTGCCCTGGCCACGCGCACTGGGAGGCCGTCCCTGCCAGGCCGGGACAAGGCTGCCCCCCAACGCCAGCGAGTCCCTCCCTGCAGCCGGGCCCTCAGGGCCTGGTCAGGGTGGTGTACACCGGCTGGTCCCAGTGACTGGTGGGGCTGTGGGAGGGCGGCAGGGCCAGGCTGTTGAGCAGGGGCGAGGCATAGGGCCGGCGCGGTGAGTGGAAGCAGGGGTACTGGTAGAGGCCGGGCGCGTAGCCAGGGTAGGCTCCGTAGTAGCTGGAGGCCTGCAGGTCGCCGTAGTCGCCCTGTGCGCCGGTGAAGGGGCCAGCGGGGGCGGCCGGGGCAGCGCTGGCCTGGCCGCTGCAGGAACCGTAGTCGGGCGAGCCTCGGGGCTGGTCGCCGTAGTGGCCGGGACTCGGCTGCTCTGTCTTGATGTGCGGCCGCGGAGGACCCGTCTCGGTGGGCGACGCGGAGGCTGATGGGGCACTCTTGTGGGCCCACACGGGGGACGCCCCGGCGTGGAAGTAGGCGCCCCCGTAGGCCTGGCCGGGCTCGGGTGGGGCGGGGCCGCCCAGGGGCAGGTACTGGTCGAACTCGTGGACGTCGAAGGCGTCCATGGTGCCCATGACCTCGCTGCTGAGCTCCGAGATGTCCACGTTGCTGAAGTCGATGTTCTGGCGCCCGCTGTCCGCCGGCCGGCGTCCCTCCAGCTTCAGCTCCGGCTTGGCGCCCGCCTGCTGCAACTCCGTCTTGGGGGTGGTGGGTGGGGTGGGCGGCCCGTGGGTCTGCCCTGGGGACAGGAGAGCAGGCTTCAGGGATGAATGCCCCTTCTGTGGGGCGGGTGGGGCCGGCCAGGCTGGAAGGGGAGGGACACCCGCGCTAACTGCCAGGGGGGATCAACGGCTTTTTGTTTCTTTACATTTCCCAGAAATTCCAGCAAAGTCAGACCTAGACCTCACTCCTCGGCCGAGAAAATTCCATGAAGCGCTGTGCTATGGGAAGACCTGAGGCCCCTCCCAGAGACCAAGGTGGGGGGAAGAAGCCGACAGGCCCAGCCTGGCCAGAGCTGGCGTTTACAGGGCGCTGGGGGACCACACAGACCCTGTTCCTCCCCGGGCCAGCCAAGCACTCTGAGGCTGGCGGGCGTCAGCCAGCCTGACCGAGGCCCCGGCAGGACTCCACCCTGTCAGTCTGGCCCTGAAGCCGGGGCTGCTGAGCGCCGTGTGGGCAGCGGCTCGGTGTGGGAAGAGGAGCCCACATTCGACTGAGTCCTGCTGCAAAACACCACGTCCCGGGGTCCCTGCCAAGCAAAGCTGTCAGCCCCTCAGCACTCGAGGCGGCTAAGCAGGTCCCTTGCGCACCAAAAACAGAGGTGGCCGGGGCCTTGGGAGGTTTTTCAGGGGACCCGGGGAAGGCCTGGTTCTCTCGAGGGCGCCTGCCCCCCTCCACCATCATGCACCCATCTCAGCCAGAAACCCCATGGTTGCCTCCCCCACCAGGGACCCTCAGATATGCCGGGGGTCTGGAGCCCACCTGTGTGGTCACCGTGGTGGTGCGCGTCTCCAAGCCCCGATTCGGCCTTGTACACGGCACCGCCGCCAGGGTGGGGTCCCAGCTCGGCGCCGGAGTCCGAGTCGCTCTGGCCGGCCTTCGTGCTCTTCCTGCGCCGTGGCTGGTACTTGTAGTCGGGGTGGTCCTTCTTGTGCTGCACGCGAAGCCGCTCTGCCTCCTCCACGAAGGGCCGCTTCTCACTCTCGCTCAGCAAGCTGCAGCACAGGGCAGAGGCAGGGATGGCCAGGGCGCCCACTGTGCCCTCGGCATGGGCACACACCACGGGGGAACCGGCAGCAGAGACCACGGCCAGGAGGCTCTGACCACGGAAACCCGCCTGCCGCAGGCTCCGGGGCCTCCCGTGGCACCAGGGAGCAAGCCCCTCTGGGAGAACCGGCTGGCGGGAGCCCGAGGCGCCTGTTTGGGGAGGTTGGTATGCTTATGACAGCCAAAGAACAAGGCCCACACCTCCCATCCTTCCTCCTTCTACTTCCCCCTATTCCGGGCCGGCTGTTCCCTCCCTCTGGGGCTTTCTAAGGGAGGCGGGGGAGGCGGGCAGGACCCAGCCGGCGGTGGACAAAAGCGAGGCTTCCCGGGAACAGTGCCGGCCTCCAGCGGGCAGCTGGGCTGCTGTGCCTCCATTCCCAGACACCCAGAAGCCCTGGCAGGGCCCAGGCGCCCGTCCTCACTGAGCCTCAGGACACATTCCCTGGGACTCTTTCGAGGCTCACCTCCAACCGCCTGTGCGGCAGGACTTGGGGGAGCAGGGGTCTGCAGTCTACAGCGCCCCATGGCTGCGCCCTAGATACAGACAGAAGGCAGGAGGTGCAGATACGCAAGCTCCAAGCTCCCATCTTCCAAGTGAGGAGCAGGATACAGGAACCAGAGCCCCAAACCAAGAGAACCATTTTAAACTCAACACTTGGTGAGGGCTGCCTGTCCTGAGCAACAAGTTCTTCACACTGCAGTCCTAATTTCTGGAAAACTGACCGGCTCCACCACGCCAAGGCGTGCACAGGCCGCATCCCATCATCTCCACTCCTGCCCTCCTTGCGTCGGACAGAGAGTGGCCAGGAGAGGGAGAAGCTGTAGGGAGGGTACTCGCAGGCAAACCTGATGCCCACCCACACGCCTGCCCCACTCCCTCCCCATGGGTGGTCCAGGAGCCAGAGGAGCTGAGCCCTGTCTAAGGCGGGCGCACCTCCAGAGAGCCGCATGCAGCTTGCACTCGTGCCGGGGGGCCTCCCGGGGCTGGGGCCACTGGCAGCAGCTGGAGGGTACCTCGGGGTGCCAGCCATGGCCCTCCTCAGGGTGTTCCCCGACAGGAGAACTGGCTCCAGAGCGCACCCGCCACGAGGGTGGATGCCCCAGGCGCTGCCCTCCGCGGACCCCGACTCCCATACCTGGCACTGGACCCCGGCTGGCCAGAGGGTGTTTTTCCACGGGGATCCGCCCTGACACCCGCCCCGGGTGCAAAGCCCGGAGCCTGCGTGTGGCCGCCACTTCCAGCCCCCGCTCACAGTCCGAGACCAGGGGCCGCCAGGGTCCCGAACCCCGCCCCCAGGGCGCAGGTACTCACCGCCACAGCTTGCCCAGCGTCTTGCTGAGCTCCGCATTGTGCAGGTGCGGGTACTGGTCGGCCAGCTTGCGGCGCGCCGCCTGCGCCCACACCATGAAAGCGTTCATGGGCCGCTTCACGTGCGGCTTGGCTTTGAGCGCGCCGCCACCGCCGCCGCGCACCGGCATGGGCACCAGGCTCCAGTCGTAGCCCTTGAGCACCTGCGACACGGCGTCGCGGATGCAGGCCGGGAAGCGCTCGTCCGCCGCCTCCGCCGCGTCGCCCCGGGCACCCCCCACCGCGCCCCCCGCGCGGCCCAGGCCCTCGGAGCCGGCGGGAGAAGGTGGTGCGTCCGAGTCCGAGTCCTCCACGTGCGACATGGAGCTGGCGGTGCCGGACGGGCTGCAGGGCGGCTGGGAGCGGGCTTCGCTCATGTCCAGCATCGGGGCCGCGCGCGGAGGGGCGCGCACCGGAGACGCGCACCGGGGCCGGCGCCCGGGGGTGCCCTGCGGCCGCTCCGGGACCCGAGGTCGCCGCGCGGTAGCCCCGACCCTCGCCCCTGCTGCCGCCGATGCCGCCGCCGCCGAGGCTCGGTTCCCGCTCCGGGACCCGCAACAAGTTTCTTTAAGCGGCGGCCCCGCGGCCCCGCCCCGCACCCGGCTGCCCATTGGCGGAGCGCGCCCCGATCCCCCGGAGGCGGAGCCCGGCCGCCCCCGCCCCCCACCCATAAAGAAAGCTCCGCCGCTCTCGCCGCGCCCCCGCCCGCCCCGCCCGGCGCCGCACCACGTGGGCCCGACGCCCCACGCCTGGAGCTCCCCTCTCCGGAGCCCCGGGAAGGGAAGCAGGGCAGGGAGGCCTGGGGGGGGGGGTCTCCGGCGCTCCCTCTCCTCTGCGGGCGCCGCGCGGCTCCTAGGAGTCCGCCCCCTGTCCCGAGGCTCAGCTAGGAAGCGGGTCATCGGGCCCCTCCCCCGACACACACCCACACACACACTCACACACACTCACACACACTCAGCCCGTCTCGCACCCGAGGTCTCGCCCGCAGACCGGTGGCGCGGGGTCAGCTGCTGCCTGCGGTCCAGGACAGGGTCGGTTCCGCCGCGCAACGCCCAGGCCCAGCTCGTCCAGAGTCTGCGGGCAGCGCACGTCCAGGTAACGCGCGCCGAGGGGCCGCGGCTCGGAGCTGGGAGACCCCGGGCCGCCCTCCCCATACGGGTGCGAGCGTGGAGAGCGCGGGCGGGGGCGCGGTCCCGGGGGCCGGGCCGTTGGAGGGGCGGGAGTGCTGGGCGGGGCCTGCGCTGAACCCGGCGCTGAGTCCCTGGGGCCGCCGGGCGGATGGCGTGGCCGGACGCGGGGGCCCCGGGCCTTCCGGGCGTGACCCAGGGCTCGGGGGCGGGGAGGCCTCTCCGGCGGGGCGGCCCTGGGTGGTCCGGCAGAGGCGGAGGCCGCTCCGAGCCTCTGAGCCCTGGGCGCCTGCGGAGGCGGGAGAGGGCGGGGTGTGCTGCCCTGGTGGGGGCCGCGGGGTCGCAGAGGGGACATTGCCCTCCGAGGCGAGCGCCCAGCCGCGGCTCCGGGTCCCCGCCCAAGGCCGCCCCCGCTAGTGGCCTCGGCCCGGCCGTCCCCGAGGGTGGCTCGGATCCTTTCGACCAGCGCGCTGGAGATGACTGGGCTGCGCCATTTCGGGTCAGGCAGCCAACGCGGAACACGCGCGTCTCCGAGCTTGCGGCCCGCGAAACTCGGGTGACCGACCGCGCCGGTGCCCCTAAAGCGCCCACGCCCGGGCCAGTGGCCGCCGCAGCCCCTGAGCCACGCGGTCTCCCCGGCCCGGCCGGCAGAAGGAGCTGGTCCGTTACCAGAAAAGTCCAGATGCGAAGTCGGGGGTCGTGCTGCCGCTTCCTGCCCGCGCACCACACCCACCTGGGGCCGCCACCGACCGCGCAGGACTCGCCTCCTACCCCGACTCTGGCCTGGCCGAGAGCTGGTGCTCCCCGGTCCGCAGACCCCGGGGCCGCTGTTGCTTTGCATTGGGAACAACCCGAGCCAGGCCCGGAGCTGAGGGGGCCAGGCCTTTGGAGGAAGCGTTGACCTCCAGGCTGAAGAGCAAGGGCCGTGCCACCTGCCGGGAGGGGGGTCTCATCTCTGCAGCCCCCCTTGGCCAGGTCAGAGGAAGCAGCTTTGGGGAGGCGGACTGCGCGCTGGGAGGCTCCACGCATCGTAGGTGGGAAGCTGGCTGCCAGCCTGGCCTGCCCACTCTTCTCCGCCCCACCGTCTCGCTTGGCTCTGGCACCTGCCTGGGAAGACCCACACCTCCGTCTGCAGTGCACCTTCCCTCTGGAGGCCCTGCCCTCCGCTCGGGGTCGCGCATCCTTCCGTGGCCCTCAGAGAATCGCCTGGGGCGCTCACGGAACTCATCTGTTAGGCCTGGGATGCAGGCAGGCAGAAGTGGGGTTTAAGTGGAGGCAGTGAGGGTGGGAGGTCCAGCCCAAACTGTGCCACCTTCCACCCCCTGCCCCTGGGAAAGCAGACACCGTCCACTCGGGCTCGCAGTGCTATCCGGGTGAGGACCTCCCTGGAGAGCTCCTCTTTGCCAAAAAAAAGCAAAGTTGCATTAGGTCTGTGAGCAGGCAGGGCGGCCTGTTCCCGGCTCCCCACCCACCACCGAGGCTTCAAGTCCCTGGGACAGAGGTGGGGGACTCCAGCGCCCCTGGAGGAAGGGAGACTGAGGTGGGGGGGCGTCCAGGGCCTGATTCGGGGGCAGGGTGGTCTGTGCAACCGAGCCCCTGCCCTGGGTTCCACCAGCACCTGCTCCTTTCCCCAGGTTGTAGAGACCACCAGGGGAGGTGCCAGGTGTGCAGGCTGCCACGGGAGGGGTGGGGAGGTGGGGAGTCGCTGCGGTGGGAGGGGGGGACCTAGGCCAGCCAGCTGAGGATGTGTTGCTGCACTCCCGGCAGTATATGCGGGTGAGGGTCCCCATACAGGGTGGCGCCCAGAAGCCTCCCTTCCAGAATCGTCTCTGGTCCACCTTGAAGTCCCCAGGAAAATGCCCTTGTCCTCCGCAGGTGTGAGCCACTAGGCCTGACTGGACGCCAGGACGGGGCTTTCAGAGAGGGAGGTGTCAAGTGGTTTGAGTGTCGCCAGGTATTAAGTAAGCACTTGCTGTGTACCAGGCACTTTCCCACACAGGACAGAGCCGGACCACCCTCACAGCCCCTGTCCCGCAGACGCTGGCCTTGTGGAGGGAGGCGGGCAGCAGGTAGCCCCAAAAGCACCTCTCAGAGGTGGGGACTTCAGGAAGGATGGTCTGGTAAAGCATCTTTGGTGTCATTTAAGCTGAGCCCTGAAGCTTCTGGCCTGCAGGGAGACGCCAGCGTGTTCCCTGGGGAAGCTAGAACAGTGTCTGATGATAAGAGAGGGACCCAGGGGTGGAGGGGCAGCCATCGGAGCCACCTCTGACCCCACCTGATGGGCCCATGTCCTCATCCGGGGGAACCTGCACCCCCTCCTCCCCTGTCTCCCATCCCTGCCCCAGCCCTTCAGCTGGGGCTGGCTCTGCCGTGTCCGCATGGCCCCGCCCACCCTGACCTCACCACCTGCTAGTGGGCCTTGCAGTTTCAAGGGGAGGACCTGACGGGGGAACCTGGACCAGGGCTGTCCCCTGGCCATGAGTGCCGGGCATGGAGAGCTGGTGTAGACGACATTTGTAGCTCCACATACCCTGGCCAGGGTGCCAAGGGCAGCTGCAGAGAAGAATGTGGGTGGGCAGGCTCTACTGCCCACGAGATGGGGCAGGGACGGCCCGGGGGACACTTCCAGATGAGAGATGACCCCACCCCATCCGTGGCTCCTAGGAATGGCGACCTCGGAGGCGCATGTGTTCATGTGTATGTGTGTTTGGTGTATGTGTGAGGTTATACGTGTGTGGTGTGTGTGGGGGATATATGTATGGGTGCGTGTATAGTGTGTATGGTGCATGTATAGTATGTGTGGTGTGTATGGTGTGTGCTGTGTGGTGTGCAGGTGTATGATGTGTGTGGTGTATATGATATGTGTGTGTGGGGTGTGCATATGGTGTGTATATGGTGTATGCTGTGTGTGTGGTGTGCATGTATATGATGTGTATATGATGTGTGTATGGAGTGTGTGGTGTATGTGATGTGCATGTGTGTGATATGTGTGGTGTATATGTGAAGGGTGTGTGTGTGTGGTGTGTGTGTATGATGTGTGTGGTGTGTGTGTGCAGGGTGTGTGTGTATGGTGTGTGGTGTGTGTGCAGGGTGTGTGTGTATGGTATGTGGTATGTGTGTCATGTGTAGGTATGGTGTGTGGTGTATGGTGTGTGTGGTGTGTGTGTGTGGTGTGTGTGGTGTGTGTGTATGGTGTGTGTGGTGTGTGTGTGTGGTGTGTGTGTGGTGTGTGTGTGGTGTGTGTGTATGATGTGTGTGGTGTTTATGTGCAGGGTGTGTGTGTATGGTGTGTGGTGTGTGTGCAGGGTGTGTGTGTGTGGTATGTGTGTCATGTGTAGGTATGGTGTGTGGTGTGTATGGTGTGTGTGGTGTGTGTGTGTGGTGTGTGTGGTGTGTGTGTGTGTGGTGTGTGTGTGTGGTGTGTGTGGTGTGTGTGTATGGTGTGTGTGGTGTGTGTGTATGATGTGTGTGGTGTGTATGTGCAGGGTGTGTGTGTATGGTGTGTGGTGTGTGTGTGCAGGGTGTGTGTGTATGGTGTGTGGTGTGTGGTGTGTATGTATGGTGTGTGGTGTGTGTATATGGTGTGTGTGGTGTGTGTGTATGGTGTGTGGTGTGTGTGGTGTGCACATGTATGATTTGTGTATGGGGTGCGTCTGGTGTATGTGATGTGTGTGGTGTATGTGTGCAGGGTGTGTGTTGTGTGTGTGCATGTGTATGATGTATGTGGTGTGTGTATGGTATGTGGTGTGTGTGGTGTGCATGTGTATGATTTGTGTGGTGTATGTGTGCAGGGTACATGTGTGTGGTGTGTGGTGTGTGTGATGTGTATGATGTGTGTGTGTGTGGTGTGTGTGTTGGGCCCAAGGCCTGAGGAGGAAGCAGGGCTGCCGAGGAAAATGCCACCCTGGAGAGGCCCCTATCCCTCCCTGCCTGTCCTCCCTGTCCCCCTCCATCCCTCCCTGCCCATCCTCCCCTGTCCCCCACCATCCACCTCCCAACCGTCCCTCCTCCTACGGCGGGCGGCCCGTCTTTTGTGCTGCCTGTGAGAAGCACAGGGAGGGCTGGGCGGGCGTGAACCCGCTGGCAGCCAGTGTGTGCACAGCCCTGGCCCGGGCCTCCCAGCCCCTGCATCCCGAGCACCCGTGGGGCAGTTGGCAGCGTCCTGGCACAGCCGGGGAGATTAATTGGTGCTTTTAATGACGGCTGGTCTGGCGAGACTACAGTGACTACAGGCTGGGCCGGCACAGGCTGTGAGCAGAGGCTGGAAAGGCCCCACCCCCGGATGGGTCTCCAGCGGAGAGGAGGGGTTCGCAGGACCCCTCTCAAGACCCTTCGGGAGTCAGCTTCCTGGCCGCGCACACTTGGAGCTCTGGGCTGGGTTGCAGCTCCCTGTGCTTCACTGTCTCGGGTGCTGACAGTGCCAGCTGGGACACGAGTTCCGGTTTGGGTCAAGGCTGGCCTGTTGGCCGGGGTGGCGTCTGCCTGAGAACTGGCCTTGTCTGTGCCTTAAGCTTCCCGGCGCTCACAGGGCAGTGGAAAACCACTCAGTGAGCCTTTCTCGGCAGCCTGCAGGAGCAGTGCTTTCTGGGCCCTCTGCGGCCAGAGCTGGCCCCGCTGCAGCTCACTTCTGCCTGCAGCCCAGACATCCTCCTGGTCCTCCTGATGCCCCCGGCCTCCACGGAGGACGAGAGTCTCCAGCCCAGCCCTCCCCATCTCCATCTTCCGCCCCCCTGACACACTGGGAGCCTCCTGATCCGTGAACCCGTGCTGGCGGGGGTAGCTACTGACTGCTGAGGACCCCTGCCCGGGCTGTTCTCACGTGGAAAGGATTCGGGGAGCGAGCGATGCTTAGCTCAAAGCATGGAGACCAGCGCTGCCCTCTCCCCAGTGACAGGTGCACGCTCAGATCACGGATGTGTCGGGAACAGCTGTGACTCCTGCTGCTCAGCGTCTGTCACTCCAGGCTGGGAGCGGGTCCCCAAGCTTCCGGCTGGGCCCATCCATCTCCCCTCTCAGTGGTGGGTGGGGGGAGCGCCAACAGCACGCATTTGCTCTCCGCACTTCTCATCTGACAGTGGGCAGAGGGTCCTTCTCCAGCCCTAAAACATCCCCAGGCAGCGCCCTGGGGCTCCAAGCAGCCAGGGAGAGGTGAGTACCAAGGACCTCCCCACGGGCGTCATCTCCTGCCAAGGGAGGCCAAGCCTAGGGGCGGTGTCTGTGACGTGGAGTCAACACTTTCACTGGTGGCAGTAAATGCTGTCCCTAACCCTGCAGAATAGATATGGGTTTCTGTGCCCTGTACAGGAGGGTGCTATCTGACACCAGACACCCAGACTACAGATCGCAGCCCCATTGCTGGTCCTTATGCCACTGAACCCCAGACCCCAGCCTCATTCTAGGCCCTCATCCCCTAGATCCAGGGACCCCAGCCCCATTTCAGCCCTTGGGCCCTTGTAGGATGCTAGGCCCTGGCTCCCCTGGGCCCCAGCCCCCAGTCCATCCCAGGCCCAGGCACCAGGGGGGCTGAGGTCCTCTGAGAAGGGACACGGGGTCTGGGGGGGCTCTCTCAGCCCATCAGCAGGAGAGGACTGACTCCAGAAAAATCAGCCTTTGTGCCCACTTAGGCTGCCAAGACCTGTGTCCGTCCTTCCACACTCAACCTTCAGATTTCATGAGGCTCCTTGCCCGGAATGTCCACGTTTGAAACCTCCCAACACCAAGCCCCATTTCAAATATAACCGGGAGGGAAAATGGTGCTTGAAATAAGCATGCCGCAAAGGAAAACCCGCTTTCTCAAAATGGGCTCTGGCTGCTCAGGTCCTGACCTCCCCGGCCAGGATGGAACGTTCCAGAGACCCATTAATGCCAAAGGCAAATTAAAACACACCCTGTAAAAATGTTTGCTGTCTCCCAAGTATTCATTTTTCTGAATGTGTTTCCTCCGCGGTCTCGGTTCAGATGAGAGCCTTCAGCAAAGCTTTGCTCTAGAGGCTCAAAGAAAGGACAGAGGGCACAGGCCCAGCTCTGCCTTTGCCCTGCCTTTCTTGTGGCCTGGGCTTGGGTGGCACCACCGGGTGACACACAACGCTGGGCTCCGATGCTGTTTGTTACGCAGCATTACTGTGGCCGTTGGTAACCGCTACACTGACTGACAACTGCACTGTGGGTAGAGCTCAGCCCGCAGGGCTCTAGTTTGTGGTCTCTGGGCCAGGCAACTTCCAAGGCTTCTTCCAGTGCAGAATATGATTCCTAGAGGAAAAAAAAAAAAATACACATTCGTTTCCTCACACAGGGTCCTGCAACCAGAGAACATCACCACATTGGGTGCTGTGCTTTCTGCTCTGCCTAGAAACCATGGCTTGCCAGCTTGCAGGGTCACATGGAGCCGCGTCTCCTTCTGGGATGCAGGGGTGGGAGCACTCGTGGCCTGTAGCTGAGGATGCAGGGAGAGGACAGGGTGAGCCAAGCAGAACAGCCGTCTGTGAGTCATGGTCCCAGGACAACCAGCAAATGGTACGACACCTGCTCTCTCAGCCCCCACCCGCACCTGCCAGCCTCACGTGGGGGAGTTTGGCCGCTGGACAGTCACGGCAGGATCTGCCCAAACCGACCACCCTTCCAGAAGGCGGCGACAGACGTTAGCATCGATGGGTCCTGGGCTCCCCTTCCATACACAGACTCCAGGACATGAAAAATTGGGGTAAATGAAGGGTGCACGATTAGCTTCGGGCCCACGCTGGGTTCCTGTGGGTGCCAGAGACAGCTGCAGCCGCATGCCAGGGACAATGGCCCCGATGCGGCAGGAGCTGCCAGGCCGGGGTGCTGGGGGACAGCTGGACGAGGTGCCGACAGGGGCTCATTCCTCCCTGAAGCGGGCCCGCAGCTGCTGGGAGCGTGGCCAGCCATGGGCTTGTGTGTGCCTGGGTCCCAGGGGCCGTGCTGGCGCAGGCTGGGATGGTGGAGTCAGGGTCCCACCCAGGGCAGGCTTGTCGGTGGGTCTCTGGGGAGACAGCCCAGTCTTCAGCCTGCGTGCTCTTGGGGAGTCCCTCCCTCCCTCCCTCCCCACTCTCCTCTTCTTCTCAGCCTCTTCTCCCCCAGCACCGGGCAGCCCTGGGGTGGCCGAGCCTCATCTCCACTCCCTCAGGCCTCTTCTGGGTCAGCCTGGCTTTTTTCTTAGTTTTTGCTTGACAGGTCAAACTCAGGACGCCCTCCTCCTCCTCCCGCCTCAGGTTGGTGTGAGGTGCTCAGGGCAGAGCCCGGGTTCCTGTGGCCGCCGGGCGCTGAGCTGCAGGGTGGAAGGACCCCACCTGGCCGATTTCTTGGCCGCTGCAACTTGCTCTGGGTTTGCGGAGAAGCCTCTATTTTTAAGTGAAGCGCCTTCTTAGGGAATAAGACACACTTGTATCTAAATGTTATTTTTAAACTGCTAGATGCTGCTTAATACAGATGAAGAAGTAAGGTGAGTGTAAATAATACGATGTATTCTGACAGGTGACAGCGCCTTCCGGGCGATTCTGAAACACCAGTGCAGGGCTGTCTGTCGTTCTTTTGTTTTCATTTTACTTTTTTTTTTTTTTGAGATGGAGTCTCTTGCTGTGTCGCCCAGGCTGGAGTGCAGTGGCGCGATCTCGGCTCACTGCAAGCTCCGCCTCCCGGGTTCACGCCATTCTCCTGCCTCAGCCTCCCGGGCAGCTGGGACTACAGGCACCCGCCACCGCGCCCGGCTAATTTTTTTTTTTTTTCTATTTTTAGTAGACACAGGGTTTCACCATGTTGGCCAGGATGGTTTTGATCTCCTGACCTCAGGTGATCCACCCGCCTCGGCCTCCCAAAGTGCTGGGATTACAGGCGTGAGCCACTGTGCCTGGCCTCATTTTGCTTTTCTAAAATTCGAGGCGAAATTCACATAGCATGAAATAAGCCACTTTCCGGTGAACGACTCAGTGGTGTTTAGCACCTCGCAGTGCTGGGCCGCCATCACCTAGTTCCAGAACATTCTTATCAGCCCAAAAGGAAATGTCCTACCCACGGAACACCCGCTCCCCATTCCCCGTCCCCAGACCTGGACCACAGAGCTCCCTCCTTTCCCGGTGGCTTTGCCCGCCCTGGACATTTCGTGTAAATGGGTTCACACAACATGTGACCTCCGCGTCTGTCCTGGCCCACTAAGCTTGATGTCCTGAGGTTCATCTGTGTTGTAGCATGTGTCAGAACTGGATTCCATTTTTTTATTTTATTTTATTTTATTTTATTTTATTTTATATATTTTATGTTATGTTATGTTATGTTATTTTAGAGACAGAGTCTCTCTCTGTGGCTCAGGCAGGAGTGCAGTGCTCAATCTCGGCTCACTGCAACCTCCACCTTCCGGGTTCAAGCAATTCTCCTGTCACAGCCTCCCAAGTAGCTGGGATTATAGGCGCCCGCCACCATGCCTGGCTAATTTTTTTTTTTTTTTTTTTTTTTTTTTTTTTTGAGACGGAGTCTCGCTCCGTCGCCCAGGCTGGAGTGCAGTGGCGCGATCTCGGCTCACTGCAAGCTCCGCCTCCCGGGTTCACGCCATTCTCCTGCCTCAGCCTCCTGAGTAGCTGGGACTACAGGTGCCCGCCACCGCGCCCGGCTAATTTTTTGTATTTTTAGTAGAGACGGGGTTTCACCATGGTCTCGATCTCCTGACCTTGTGATCCGCCCGCCTCGGCCTCCCAAAGTGCTGGGATTACAGGCGTGAGCCACCGCGCCCGGCCTTTTTTTGTATTTTTAGCAGAGGTGGGGTTTCACCATGTTGACCAGGCTGGTCTTGAACTCCTGACCTCAGGTGATCCACTCGTTTTGGCCTCCCAAAGTGCTGGGATGACAGGCTTGAACCACTGCGCCCGGCTCCTGGATTCCTTTTTATGGTTGAATCATAACCCAGTGCACTTTTGATTAAATTCAGGCTGAAATGGGCATGAACAGAGCCGCTGGTCCACCTCTCCTCGGTCCAAGCCCTGCCCCCAGTGACCTGCTCTGGAGCCATTCTAGGCCGTGGATGGGACCGCTGTGGTCAGCGTCCCAAGAGAGCAGACCCCGAGGGAAACTTGAGCTCAGAGAGGACAGGAGCTCCCAGCAGACCCTTCCGCTGACTGCTCCCACCCTGGGCAAACGCAGAGCCGGAGCCCGGAGCGCTGGAAGCTGGAACAAGAGGCCCTTTTCTGCTCTGCACAATGCCCCATTGTGCCCTTTGCGGGGAGAGCAGCTCGGCCCGGCGAGGGGAAGCTGTGCACAAAGGCTCCTTGTGACGGCAGCCCCACCTGAGGACAGCGCAGGGCCACACCTGACACAGGGCAGTCCTCTCGCCGTCCGTCTCCGAGCAGGCCTGGCATCCAGACAGGGCCCGCTCTGCAGGCGTAGCCCGAGGGTGTGGGGCTCCCTGTTCCCCACAGAGGAGGGGAACAGTGTAAGCTCTGCTGGCCCTTCCTAAACTGGCCCCCAGATCATGAGGAGAGGTATGGGTGGTGGGTTCTGCGGAGGGACCTGGGTGCTGGGCGCCTGCCAGGGCCAACGGCTCCTGCAATCCCCAAGGCTCCGAGCCCTCAGGCACACGCTGTGCTCCCGGAGGCTTGGCCAGCATGTGGAGGATGTTTGCGTGTTTGCACCCATGGCAACATCTTTTACAGGGTCCCATTGCACAGCTGGACTCCTAAAGGGGTTTTCATAGAAAAGAAATGGAAACTAAAAATGAATTAAACCCTAAGATGTACAGGTATGCTATGACCCCAGCAACTCAGGGAGGCTGGAGGCTGAGAGGAAGCTCTGGCCACTGCTGCTCAGCCCTGGATTTGGGGACCTGATGTCCACAGTCAGTCCCTGCCCTCACAAGGCTCACACTACAGGTGGTGAAGATATAATTAAACTAGTTACAAAGACGGGTCATTTGACCATCCGAGTGACAATAATTTATATGCCAAAACACCAGGAACACTAGAGAGGCGAAAGACAAGAATACGTAAAAACAAAAACAAAAAGCCAGGACAAATATTTCCAATATACACAAAAGAACGATTTTTCATATGTAAAGAGCTCTGACGAATGAATAAGGAGAAACCTGCACTTCCACGATTTCCTTCCAAGTGCCCCACAGTTTATTCAATAACCCCTAGGTCTCCAATGCCTACTCTGGCCTCACACCCTTTCTTTCCTCTAAGGAATGCCTGTGACCTCAGCCTCTCCCAGCACCCACTTCGGATCAGCCCCCAGAACCCCGCTCCAGTCATTAGAATGTAGAGTTGCTGGCGTCCTCCTTCAGGTTCTGTTTGGGGCAATGGGCAGTTAGCCCTTCCCTCTTGAGTCCTGAGTCCCCCTCTTCCCCCACAGCTTGAAGTCCAGTCCCAAGGGCTGGCAGGAGCTGGGCTGTGCAAAGGCGTAAGGCTGGGAGGAAGGGGAGGGAGGGTCCCCCCAGCATTCCAGGCCCAGCCCTGCCTACTCTGTTCCTTTCTGGCTGCGACGATCGCCCAGCACCCTCCGCGGATACTGGGAGTGAGTGTCAGCTGTGAGGCAGGGGCACGCTGTGGCACTACCGCCAGAGTTTCTGCGGCCCACCTTCCCCAGGACAAGAGTTGGGAGGGAAGGCGCCTGGCTGGGGGAGGGCACCTGGGCCTCTGCAACGCGGACTGACGGAAGGCACGCGTGCATGACCCAGTGAGTTCGGGTCGGGCGACGCGCACCTCCTCCCAGGTACCCGGTCCCACACCCTACCCGCAGCAGCGCCCAGCGAGGACTGCGAGGGAGGCAGGCTCCGGGCACCAGGTCCGGCGCGTGGGCGGGGCCGGCCGGAGGGGGCGGGGCCTCCGGGAGTGTGGGTGGGGCTTTCGGCCGTGGGCAGGGCCGACCTGGGAGGGGCGGGGCCTCCGATAATGGGCGGAGCCTCCGGGAGTGCGCCCTCCCCGCACATGCGCCCTGACGGCCCAACAATGGCGGCGCCCGAGGAGTCGCTGAGGAGGCGGAAGACCGGGTACTCGCACCCGGAGTCTGAGTCGCCGCCCGTGCCGGGGCGTGACCCCGCAGGCTCTCCGGCCCACCTCCACGCGGGCACCTTCTGGCTGACCCGGATCGTGCTCCTGAAGGCCCTAGCCTTCGTGTACTGTGAGTGCCGGGCGGGCCCGGGACATCCGCCAGTGTCACCTCCGCGCCCCACGACCCCCGCCCTCCCTCGAGACTCCTCCGCGCGGTCCCGCGGCCGCGGCGCCCCCACGCAGCCCTCCTTCCTGCCGGGGCCGGGTGGGGTGGGGCGGGGCGGGGCGGGCGGGGCAGGACGAGGCTTGCTGTCGCCGCCTCGAGCCTCCGGCCTGGGCGCCCGGGCTCCCGGCTCCACCTGCAGCCCCGGAGTTGCTCGGCCGCGCCCGCCAGGACCGGCTCGGGGCAGTGCGAGGCGGGGCCGGCCCGGGCCCTGGCCCAGGAGCTCGCAGGCGAGCGGGACCAGTCGGGCGGCGGGTCGCCAGTCCGCGGGCAGGTCGGGGGTCTGCGTTCCGGCTGCGGGGCGGGGAGGCCTGGAGAGGGAGGCGCCCCTGCTGCCCCCGCACAGCGCTGTGCCGACGGTGGAGGTTCCCGCTCTTGCTGGGCCCCCGCACGCCGCATCCCCACCGCGTGCGGCCCCTGCCAAACTCCGAGGAGCCGGCCCGGGAGCCTCCCCCGCGTCTCCCGAGGGCTGAGGGAGGGTGACGGGCTGGTGGCCGGACTGGAGTTTCTCCTTGAGTGTTCTCGGCTAGCTCAGCCTGCCTTCGGGGGGATTCCCAGCGGAGGCCTGGGGGCAGCTCTGGAGCCTCATCTGCAGGTGAAGCCTGCGCCCCACTCTGGGATGTGGTTGGCGGGGTCTGCTGGCTGAGACCCTTCACCCCACAGCGTGCGCAGCCTGCAGGGCAGAGCTCTGAGAAAAGTCAGTTCGTGCTCAAAACCTCTGGACCCCCTGGCCAGGGGCAGCTGGCGATTCCAACTCCCACCCCCCCTCCCCAGTCCGGACTACGCACAACTGGTTTGGAAGAGAACGGTCCTGTGATCACAGGGACATTAGTGGACACACGGATACGTGTTTCATAAGCCCAACCTGTTAGTAGCAACGAAGCCCAAACTCAGGCTCTCAGATGAGCCTGGAAGTGAGGGGAGCGTGCCAGGCCGAGATGGAGCCAGCGGGGTGCGTGGGCAGCCACCCTTCCAGAGGGCCCCGGAGCCACTGGCTCTGGCGTTGTCCACGCGTGGTTGTAGGCCATGGACATTGGACGTCTCCATTTCCTTCCGTCGTCTACTTCCCTCACGCGTGGAAGGAAACGGTCGGATTGCAGAAGTTCTTGTTTGCACAGCTTTCGTCCCACACACATCACGGGAAGTTTGGTAGCCTGGCTGTGCTGGAGTGATGCTCAGTTTGACGTTTTGTGTGACGTTTGTGTGATACTTTCCACCTCCTGGTGCAAAGTGACGAGATGTGCTCATCACTACAAGGTTTCCTGTGGGATTGCAGTATTGGCTTCAACTCGGTCTCTCTCTCTCTCTTTCTTTAAAGCAATTATTTTTATTTTATTGTATTTTATTTTATTTATTTTTGAGACGGACTCTCACTTCAGCCCAGGCTGGAGTGCATTGGCACCATTTCGGCCCACTGCAACCTCTGTCTCCTGGGTTCAAGTGATTCTCCTGTGTCAGCCTTCCAAGTAGCTGGGATTACAGACGTGCACCACCATGCCTGGCTAATTTTTAAAAATATTTTTAGTAGAGACGGGGTTTCACCATGTTGGCCAGGCTGGTCTCGAACTTCTGACCTCAGGGCCTCCCGAAGTGCTGGGATTACAGGCGTGAGCCACCGTGCCCGGCCTGCAATTATTTTAAAATGTAGTTCTTCCCAGGTTGCTTTTCCCTCCACAGTATTAAACAGTCGTTCTAAACGTTGGTGCTGTCACTTAGCAAACGATGAAGCAGAGATAAAGCGAAGCTGTGAGGCTCTAATAGGCCTTCCACAGGGGAGCCCGAGATACAGCGGGAAGTCCCAGCGGCGTTGCCTCCTGAGCACAGCTTCATAAAACCAGCTCAGACTCTTTCAAACGAGCTGAGGCTCCTTTGATCTCTGCAGGGATTCCCTGTTCAATTCAGAAGGAACCACTTTTAAGCCACTGGGTCAAGCAGATATTTTAAGCCTGGTGCCCAGCATTGAACATTTCTCCTTGACATATGCATGTTCTTCTATCTTGTGAGTATGTTTAGGGTAGAATCAGTGTCTTTCTGCCGTATCAAGGAACCAGTTTCCCATCTTCCAGGATCTTCCAGGGACATGGTTTTCTGAGTGAGCTGGCCCAGGGCAAGCAGGCAGTCATCCTGTATTTATCTCCTTCTAGAAAGTTCTGGATTTTACTGGGACCGTGCGCTCCTCCCTGTTCCTCAGAATCCCAGGGTTTTTCCAAGTTGCCATAGGGGCTCTCCAAATAGTTCACTTGATACTGAATTTTACAATGTTTGTAGCTATCGAACACTTGTAATTAAACACATAATCAAATGTATTCTGTGGAAACTCCCCTTGTTAAAAGACATTGAACTGAGGCAGGCTTACCCTTAGGCAGATTGTCTCAGCAGACGTAGTAAAAATGTACAGATCAGGGGAACACAGAAACGCTTACTCTGTCGGGGAAGCTTCGAAGCTAGACACGGAGAGGCCGGCTGCCAGCGACAGGCCTCTGCATTCAGCCTGCCTTTGCGTCCGTCCTGGGGCTGGCTCCTTCCCCCCGTGGGCCGGGGTGTTTCCCTGTGCTGCCACCGAGGTGTGTAGGTGCTGGGGGTGTGCTTACTGCACACAGACGTGTGTACCACGGGCATCCTGGGGTGTCTGCCATGCCCTGCTGTGCTGTGGGAGCCGGAGTGTGGTGTTAGCGGAAAGTGGCATTTTCACAGGGCTCAGAGTTGAAGACACACCTGTCATCCTGACGTGTGGACTCCAGTCCCTGGTGCGATGACTGTTGAGCAGATGCTGAAGTAGCACCTTGCCCGGTGCCGACCTCCCGGTGACAACGTCACTGCCTCCGGTGGACAGCGAGGAAGCAGGGTCAGCCTCCGGCCTGGCTGTGCAGCGAGTGTCCATCTGCCCTGGAGTTCAGCCCTGCCCTTCATTCACGTCGCTGTGCAGCCTGCGTACCCTGGACACCCGGTTCACATCTGGGCAGTGGCGTTCTCGGGCCGGGACGGCACCTAGGAGGACCAAGGCCGCCCGAGGTGATCGGGGACATGTGACACTGAGCATCCCCTCAGCCCAGATGCCACTCCCAGGAACGGCCGAAATCCGGATGAGTAAAAGCTCATGTGACAGGAGTTTCCGGCCTAAGCAGCGGGACCTGGGTGCTGTGTTCTTGGTGTGTAGGGGCAGTGCTGGCCGCCCATGGGTGCTGGTGCCTCCTGCACTCAGGCCTGCTGCCGTCTGGATATGCGATGAGGAAACTGAACCCAAGAGCAGGCACCATGCCCAGGGTCACTGGGACAGAGGGCAGAGCAGCCTGGTCAGAAGCCCTCGCTGTTTTGTGGCAGGGACCCCCAGGGTCGCACACCAGCGTTGCGGCCCAGCGTTCCCCGCGGAAGATTGAGGCCTGCACTGGTCAACCCTGTAGTGCAAGGGCGTGTGTGGCAAACAGCTGGTTTGGAGACTTGTCAACCAGGCCGGTTCCTCGATGCTTTGAAATCCCTCTCCCAGGGGGCCTGGGCAGGTCGGTCCATGGGTGGCCACAGGCAGCTGGGGCTAGACTCCTGGAATTTCCAGCAGCCCTGCGTCTGTTATAGCGCCAGTGGGTAGAGCTGGATCCCTGACAAGGCCGGGGAAGGACAGCCTCACAGGTGCTACTGAAGACGCCCTAGGCTAGAGCTGCCCATCCCGGCTGGGTTCTCCTGGACTGAACTCACGTTGGTTTGCTATTGTTGAGAGTCACATAGAATATGTACACAATGCATTTTAACTGCCTCAGAATTCAGGTGTTATCTGGAAACAGTGTAATTACAGTTGGTCAGAATTGGGTTGATAGCTGTTCACTGCAGAGAACTTTCTGGAAGCTTGTGACAGGTGGAAGTAGTGGGGCTCCAAGTTGGTGGGCCACACCTTAGCTATGTGGCCTTAGCCAAGTTGCTCATCAAGACCTGCCTGTCACTGATGAGACGAGACTGACCACTGGGCCATCCTGAGGCTGACATGGGATTCCCCGCCTGTGCACACTTCCCAGAAGGTGGACGGAGGACACGCTGGCGCGGGAGATGGCTCGCAGGCAGCCACGGAGTCTATCTGTATATCTGAACCTTGGAAAGGACCTTTCTTTTGAAGCTCAAACGTTTATGAGACACTGTTACAATTTGGAAGGGATTTGTGGGTGAAATGTGACATGGAGACTGGGTAATGTTGGCATTTGCAGACTGACTTTGTGACTGGCACTTTTCGTGGCTGTCATGGCTTCGGCACAGAGACCCTCCTGAGGGATTTGGTCTGTCAGTTCACGTGTTTGTTGGGTCCGAGTCCTGGACAGGCCCAGGAGGGAACTGCCCTGGCCAGGGCCGGACACTTGGCGCCTGCACAGGGCACGAGTGCTGGCGGCTTTGGGGCACACGCTCCCTGCTGCCTCTGGGGCAGATGTCCACCTGCACTGCTTGCAACAAGAGGCTCGGGCCCCAGCAGACGAGCCGTGGTGCCTGAACTGCTCCCGCTGTGTCCCTGCCACGTGAGGCATCTCTTCCTGACCACGGTCCTGAGACCACCTGACCTCTGCCTTCCTGGGGTTGAACTGTCCTTGTTCTCTCCATGGCTGCCGATGCCCTTCCGGTCTTCAGACTTAGCCCCCATCACTCGTGGACTCCTGACCACACGCAGGACTGACCACCAGAGCCCTGCTCTCTGCTTCCTTTGTGGCTGATGTTGTCCCCTTTCCAGTGTTGTTGTGCCCGTCTACCCTCTGGCTCCTTGCAGTCAGGGAGAGGGCTTTCTTTATACCTCTATCCCCTGTCTTCTAGGGGCATCTCCTGCTCAGTGAAATGTGCCTGACCTGTAGCAGGTGGTCTCTACCAGGGCTTAGTGTCAACACGGGGCACTTTTCCAGCCATCACCCCTTCCTCCCCCTCCGCCCGCCTCCAGCCCT